AAATGGTTGAACGTCAACCAATTCTTTTTGGTACAGTGACTGTGTATTCCTCCCATTTTCTTTTGATACTTCCAGTGTTGTTCGGTATTTTGCCCATAGAATCCTTCACTGTTGCAGCTGGAGGCTTGAATTTTTTCTTCAGTTTTTTAAACTTCAGAAATGCTGAGCATGTTCTTCCCTTTTGGTTTTCTAACTCAAGGTCTTTGCACATGTCATTATAATACTTTACTTTGTGTTCTCGAGGCACCCTTTGAAATCTTCTGTTCAACTCTTTTATGTCATCGTTTCTGTTGCTCACTGTAGCTACTTGACGTTCAAGAGCAAGTTTCAGAGTGTCTTCTGACATTCATTTTGATCTTTTCTTTCTTTCGTGTCTTTTTAATGACCTCTTGCTTTCTTCCTGTATGATGTCCTTGATATCTTTCCACAGCTCATCTGGTCCTCGGTCACTAGTGTTCAGTGTGTCAGATCTATTCTTGAGAGGGTCTCTAAATTTATGTGGGATATACTCGTGGACTTGTTCTAATTTTCTTCAGCTTCAACTTGAACTTGCGTACGAGCAGTTGGCCCCTGCCTTGTTCTGAATGATGATGTTGAGCTTTTCCATCGTCTCTCCACAAATGTAGTTGATTTCATTCCTGTGTATTCCATCCAGCGAGGTCCACATATATAGTCACTGTTTATGTTGAAAAAGGTATTTGCAGTGAAGGAAGTCGTTGGTCTTGCAAAATTCTATCATGCCATCTTGCAATCTCTGGCATCATTTCTATCACCAATGCCATATTTTCAAACTACCAATCGTTCTTTGTTTCCAACTTTCGCATTCCAATCACCAGTAATTATCAGTGCATCCTGATTGCATGTTCTATCAATTTCAGACTGCAGAAGTTGGTAAAAATCTTCAATTTCTTCGTCTTTGGCCTTAGTGGTTGGTGCGTAAATTTGAATAATAGTCATATTAACTGGTCTTCCTTGTAGGTGTATGGATATTATTCTATCACTGACATCGTTGTACTTCGGGATAGATCTTGAAATGTTCTTTTTGACAATGAATGCAATACCGTTCCTCTTCAGTTTGTCATTCCTGGCATAGTAGACCATGTGATCATCTTGATTCAAAATGGCCAATACCAGTCCATTTCAGCTCACGAATGCACAGGAAATCGATGTTTATACATTCCATTTCATTTTTGACAATTTCCAGCTTTCCCTGATTCATACTTCGTACATTCCACGGTTTTGATTAGTAATGGATGTTTGCAGTTATTTCTTCTCATTTTGAGTCATGCCACATTAGCAAATTAAGGTCCCGAAAACTGGACTCCATCGACATCATTAAGGTGGACTCCACTTTGAGGAGGCAGCTCTGTTCCAGTTGCCTTTTAGTGCTTTCCCACCTGAGGGGCTCATCTTCCCGCACTGTATCAGACAGTGTTCTGCTGCTATTCATAGGGTTTTCACTGGTTAATTTTTTTCAGAAGTAGACTGCCAGGTCCTTCTTCCTAGTTTGACTTGGTCTGGAAGCTCAGCTGAAGCCTATCCACCGTAGGTGACCGTGCTGGTATTTGGATACCGGTGGCACAGCTTCCAATGTAACAACACGCAAGCCCTCACAGTATGACAGACTGACAAACAAATACAGATAGCATAATATGTATAACATATATATAACATTTATGCATATGTATTTGTAAAAACATTTACCAATTCAACAGTTTTTACATGTACATTTTTAGTAATGCTGATTACATTCATCATTTTATGCAACCATCACCACTATACTTTTCCAAATTATTTCACCACCATAAGATTAATTTGGTATCCCCTAAGCAATGACTCCCTTTCCCCCTCCTTCCTACCCCTTGTACAATAATGAATGTTAGTCTCTATATGTTTATCTATTTCACATAAGTGGGATCAGTTTGTGACTGGCATTTCACTCAGCATAATGTTTTCAAGATTTATCCATGTTCTAACATGTATCTGGACTTCATTTCTTTTTATGGCTGAGTATGCATATCCATTGAGTCTTGTATGCATATACCACACTTTGTTCATCCCTTCATCTGTTGATGAACATTTAGGTTGTTCCTACATTTTGGATGTTGTGAATAGTGCTATAAAGATAGCACTATTTCTGTTTCCATTTCTGCCTTCAATTCTTTTGGGTATATACCTCGGATTGGGATTGCTAGAGTAATATGGTATTTCTGTGTTTAACTTTTTGAGGATCCACAAGCTATTTTCCACAGTGGCTATACCATTTTGCATTCCCACCAGCAGTGGATGAGGGTTTCAATTTCTGCACATCTTTGCCAGTTATTTTCTGTTTTGTTGATCATAGCCATTTTAGAGGGGTTGTAGTGGTATCTCATTGAGGTTTTGATTTGCATCTCCCTAATGACTAATGGGAGACCTAGGTGGTGCAAATGGTTAAACGTTTGACTACTAGCTGAAAGGTTGGTGGTTCAAAATGACCCAGAGGTGCCTCGGAAGACAGGCCTGGCAATACGCTTCTGAAAGGTCACAGCCTTGAAAACCCTATGGAACAGTTCTACCCTGCATACATGGGGTCACCATGAGTTGGAATCAGCTTGAGGGCAACTAACAACAACAATGTTGTGCATCTTTTCTTGAGCTTGTTGGCCATTTGTATATCTATCCTCTTTGGTGAATTGTCTGTTCAAGAACTTTGCCCATTTTTTTGATTGGGTTGTCTTTTTTTTGTGCAATACTTATTTTCAATTGCTATCATGTTCTGGGAGCCCTGGTGGCACAGTGGTTAAGAGCTTGGCTGCTAAGCCAAAGGTTGGCAGTTTGAATCTACCAGTCACTCCTTGGAAACCCTGTGGGGCAGTTCTGCTCTGTCCTATAGGGTCCCTATGAGTTGGAATTGACTCCACAGCAGTGGGGTTTTCTTTTGTTTTTTTTATCATGTTCTGAGGGATGAGGTAGTTTCAGAGGTTTTCACTTGGATTTTCCTACTATAGGAGCCCTGGCGTCACAGCAGGTAAAGCAAAAGATCAGCGGTTCGAACCCATTAGCCACTCCGTGGGAGAAAGATGTGGCAGTCTGCTTCCATAAAGATTTACAGCCTTGGAAACCCTATGGGGCAGTTCTTCTCTGTATAGGGTTGCTATGAGTCAGAATCGACTTGACTTGACAGCAGTGGGTTTTGGTTTTTCCTGTTATGAGAGCTTCCACCATACAGACCATGGAATCATTGTGAGGATTATTCTAACTGCCAAATATATAAATTCGAATTATATACTTGGGGAGTGGGGACTGTCCACTGTCCCACTGGGCTCACTTGTGAGCTGACTTTTGCAAGGACACTATTTATTACCTCTGTTCAGCAGGTTTTGCCTGAATGGTTGGTTCTTTGGCTCCACACAGCTCAACTAGGATCATTCTCTTGGTTCCATTCAGCTGGTGTGGGCTAGTTTAAGGAGGTTTCACTGACACATCTGGTGCCATGGTGCTAGTCCATGTGACCATTTTTACTCCATTAGGCTAGCTTGGGCTTCCTTACAAGATTGGTGGTCGTCCCAGGATACTTGGACCTCAGAAGTCACACAGCATCAGTTCTACCATGTTCTCTTGGTCAAAAACAAATCACAGGACCAACCCAGATCCAAGGGCAGGTCTCATTGCAAAAGAACATAAGGGATAAGATATTGTTGCAGCCATCTTTGGAAACACAACTGACCATATCACTACTTCATCTGCTTTCTATCCTCCAAATTTTTGTAGATCTTTCTCATTTGTTTTTTTTTGTGTGTGTGTGTGGTTTTTTTTTTTTTTTTTTCGTTTAAGCTATTATCCTTTTTATATAAATGCTTAAAAATCTTATTTTAGTAAGAATTTAGCAGAGATACAAGTTTGGTTTTTCATGGTTAATTGGCAGTCGTGTCTTAGTCACTTCATGTTGTCTTGTTGGTCACCTGGAAAGCAAGTTGTGTTTAGTTTCTTTTTTTCTTCTCTGCTGTCTTCTGATAATTCTTTCTGCCAGTTGCATGTCAGTGGGGGAGGATAGTGCGTTGGAGTGATCTGCTCTGGGTATAGGCAGTAAGGATTCTTTTTTTGTGGAGAATTTAAGCCTGTCTGCTTTTCTTTATCACTCAGCACCAACGATTTTAAATAACGTCAGTGGTAAAATAACTGCTTTATCTCAGAGTGGACTGCTTTCACATAACTCGTTTTGCTATGCCGCTGCTCTTTGCTGAGGTTACTATACTGTGTCATCCTGGGCTGTTTTATACCTGGTTATCTGAATAAGGACTAGAGAAAGAGTCTCTGCCTCTTTCACAGAGTGCACATAGGATTTTCCCATCACAGGTCTTTTTTGTTTAATGGTTGTTGTTGTTAGTTGCTGTTGATTCGATTCTGACTCATGGTGACCCCATGTGTGCAGAGTAGAACTACTCCATAGGCTTTTGCCTTTCTGAAGCATATTGCCAGGTCTGTCTTCTGAGGTGCATGTGGGTGGGTTCCAGCTGCCATGGACTGGTAGTTGAATGCTTAACTGTTTGCACTGCCCAGGGATTCCTTTGTTTAATGGTAGATCATATCATTTAGGTCTCTACAGATCATATTTTAAGGAGAATTTTGACAAACTGGGTCATCCCCAGAAAAGTAAGCCAGGATGCAGAAAGATCTGGAGCCTGCAAATACTGAGAATATGTAATCTGGAAAACAAAATGAGACTTAAATGACAACATGGTAATTATTTTCAAATATTTGAAAATGACTAAAGAGGATAAGGTTGGATCTGTTTAGAAATGGAGTAGACTTTCGTATGAAATGAGTTTTTGGCATTGTTTGAGTAGAGGCCATCAGCAGTGTTGTTCCTGTTAAGTGAGGGAGCTCTTTTCTGCCTTTTTCTCTTCACAGTTACTGCTCTGTCCTAATGGTTATTTGCTTGAGATCATACTTGTGGGGTATGATTATATTTTAAAATGTATATTTGAAAAATAATTTTAAACTTTTCTGTTCCGCAGGACTTAAATGCTATTTATTCTTATCTTCACGGAATGGAGATATTATCAAATCTCAGGGAACATCAGCTTAGGTAAGTGTGGTGCTGTGTTTAAGAGCATGTGCTCTGAAATTATTCAGTCATTCACCAAATATTTGTTGAGCACCTCTTATATTTGCCTTACTGTTTGTGGTGCTTGGGATAAACATACATTTTGATCCCTGCTTTCCTGGAGTTTATATTCTGGTGGTAGTGATTTTGAAATTGGGGGAAATACAAGAAAAACTATGTATGATATACCATAATGATAAGTACTGAGAATACAGTTAAGCATGATGATGTGAAATAAACTAATTGGGTAGGACTTGACTTTGGATAGTCAGTGAAGGCCTCTCAGAGAAGTAACTTTTGAGTAGAGACCTGAATAACAGGAAGGAGCCAACCATGCCAAAAAAGAGCTTTTGTGGCTAGAGCATAGTGAGAGGAGAGGTAGAGCATGGTGGAAGTTAAGTTTGGATAGGTAATCACAGGGACCAAATTACTTAGGGACTTTTGTAAGAGTAGGAAAAGGAATTTGTGTTTTCATTACAGTATTTCTTAGCCATGGGACCTTGAGCAAGTCTTTAACATCTGAGCTTCATTTTGCCCTCCATAAAATAGGGATAATAACAGTATCTTCTTTGCAATGTTTTGACAATTAAATGAGATTGTCTAGAGTAAAGCACAGTGGTCACCACATAAATGCTCAGAATATGCTAGTGAGTTTTTAGGTACATGTGAAAAACAAAACTCTTGTTTTCTTTTTGTAGTTTGTATTGATGTTTAACATGTCAACTGCTTAAGATGGGCATGGTATGTTACATTAAAGTAGAAGGAACAGGACCCTTGAATGGCACAGGGCTCTCATGGACAAAACCTGTCAACTTAATGAGCCTTGTCTTAGGCTGGGTTCTCTAGAGAAACAAAACCAGTAACGTGTATAAATATATACAGAGAGAGATTTATATCAAGGAAACAGCTCATGCAGTTGTAGAGGCTAGAACATCCCAAGTCCATGGATCAGAGTAGAGGCCTCTCCCAATTCACACAGCCACAGAAGCTGGCAAGCCCAAGATCGGCAGGTCAGAGAGCAGGGCTCCTGCTCACAGGCTCTGAAGGTCAATGAATTCCAGGATCGGCAGGCAAAACCACAAGGTTTCTCCTGATTCACGTAGCTTCAGGGGCTGGCGAACCCAAGATCAGCAGGTCAGAGAGCAAGGTTCCTCTCACAGGCTGTGAAGATCGATGAATCCCAACTTTGGCAGATAAGCTGACAGCTCAAGTCCCAAGAACCGGAGGTGAGATGACAGGAGGCAGCCGCAGGATCCAGAGTGAGCAAAAAGCCAGAATGTCTGCTTATATACAGATGCAGGCCACACCCTCAAGGAAACTCCCTTTCCACTGATTGGCTACTCACAGCATATTCAGCAATGGGAGTGATCACATATAAACACTGAGAATCATGGCCCAGCCAAGTTGACACACGATCTTAACCGTCACAAGCCTTATTTTCTCTTCTATAAATTGAGGTATCCTCCCTGCTTATCTCAAGTCACTGTGATTACACTTTGGAGTGGTTTAACACAGTAAGAGTTGTAACTTTGTATAAAATTTTAATTAATGCATGTTCTTCTTTTACAACCAGCTCATCCATCACTTTTCCTTGCTGTTCTTTAAGTTTCTGGTTATCACCAGATTGTTAAAGTATAGTTGTTTGAGATTTATTTTCTGTTTTCTTGTGTATAATCAAAGATAATTCAGTGTTGGTGTATGTCAAACCACTATAGAGAAGAAAACTAAAAACTAGAGCATTTAGTATACTAATTTAGGTATGTGAAAGAGGTTTTCTTTTTACTTTAAGTGTTTTTAAATGCAAGCCAATATATTAGATTTTTATGTGTGTGCATATCAATTCCAGTACCTGTACTTCACACTAAGGATTTAGTAGTGAATAAGACAAATTTTAAATTTTATATTTTGATAATCAACATTATTTGGTGTGAATTGACACGTTTTATAATATGCATAATTAAGTTGTTGCCAATTAATACTATCTTATTGCTGTTTTGAAATTATTGCATTTTATGTGTGTTTTTAAACCCTGGTAGTTCAGTGAAAATTTGGTGGTTAAGTCTGGTCATATTTGCAACAGGATTTTTAAAACACCATTTATTAAAATAATCTTCACAAAATTTTACTTGTTTTTATATGTTAGACTGATGTCTGCAAGAGCACGATACGAAAGATATAGTGGCAATCAAATTCTGTTTTGGTAAGTATTTCCATAATTAGCTTAACTTTCTGACCTTTGTTTAAATTTTTACTTTTAGCAGTGAAAATCATTTCATTCTGGAACAATTTTTGTAGAGCAGATTGTAGTATATTAAATAAACTGAAGTATAACATACATAGAGTGTATAGATATTAAGTATATAGTTAAGTGAATTTTAATAAATATATATACCTGAATAAGTATTGGAGTCCTGGTGGCTCAGTGGTTAAGAGCTTGGCTGCCAGCCAAAGGGTCGGCAGTTTGGATCTACCAGACACTCCTTGGAAACGTTATGGGGCAGTTCTGTGTCCTATAGAGTCACTATGAGTCGAAGTCAACTCAGTGGCAATGGGTTTGTTTTTTTTGATTTGATGTAACTATTAGCCATATGAAAATATAGAACATACTGTCTCTCTAGAAGACTTCAGTCTACTCTCTTCTGGAAAGGTAATCATAGTTTTGACTTCTGTCACCATAGATTAGTTTTGCCTCTTTTTCAACTTCATATACATGGAATCTTTTGGCCAGGCTTTTTTTTTTCACTTGGTAAATGTTTAAGATTCTTCCATGTTTTTACACTCATTCTCTTTCACTGCCGTATAATATATGAAAATACCACAATTCATTTATCCATTTCACTGTTAATGGATACTTGGGTTGTTTCCAGTTTTTTACTATGATGAAGAATAAGGTTTTTATTAACATTTTGTCTTTGTGCCCTATTTACTCATTCATGTTGGGCGTCTATCTAGAAATAAGATTACTAGAAATGTGCGTGTTCAGATTTAGGGGATACTGACAGTTTTATAAAGTAGTTGTACCAGTTTCAGTAACCAACAGCAGTGTGTTTGGTAAATTCCAGATGGTCCACATCTTTGACAACCCTCAGTGTTGTCACGTTTTTTTTGTTTGTTTGCTTGATTTGAATTTTAGCTGCCCTGCTGATTAGGTATTTCATTATATTACCTCATTATGATTTTATTTTATACTTCTGTGTTATAAAAACGGCTTGGGGGCAGTGTCTGACCTCCTCCACCCCCACAAGAGGGAAGGAGAACCAACATCAGCAGCACAAGACTGCCTCGCATGAGGTGGAGGCCAGACATGCCTCCTCTCTCTGCCATCTTTACCAATTCTGACACCAACTGCCCCTCCCACAGCACTCTCTCATTGCGATGCCACACAGCACTCAAAGACCATACTCAGAATTATGCGGTTTATTACGGTTCAGGCTCAGGAACACTCAGCATACAGTTTTCATCAGGACAACCTCTTCCCAACCGTGCTCACAGGCACGCCTCTCCCCGGCCCTAGGCCTCTCCCCAGAGGCACTCAGCTTTCTCGGTGGGCTTCTTATACTGCCACTGCTTCTCACTGTCTACAGGGTTACGGCTTGCTCTCTCTCTCGGTCTGCTGCTTCCAGGAGCTTCTCACTGGACAAACTCTGCTTATGTCTGTTTTTCCTTGGTGATGGTAGGATCCTGCTCTCTGTTCTGGAATGGGCTCTCTTATAAGGCACAACTGACCAATCCCCTTGGTAGGCCACAAATACCCTATCACACAGTCCTGCCCAGTCACCTGGGTGGGTGTTACAAGACCAAGGCTACAAAGGCCACACACAAAAGTAATTAATCACAGCATACCTGTTTACTAATGATGCTGAATGATTTTCATTAACTATTTTAGGTAGCCTCTTTTATGAAATCTCTTAAGTTTTTGACCATTTTTTAAATTGGGCTATCTGTCTTATTTTTATTGATTTGTAGAAATTTTTAATGAATTCTGTATCCAAGTTGTTTCTTAAGTATATGTTTTGCAAATATTATCTTCCACTGTATGGCTTGCCTTTTCACTCTAATGGCATCTTTTGAGGATGAGAAATCTCTAACAGACTTAATTTGTGCTTTGAATAGTGCTTTTTGTGTCCTGGTTTGTTTGTTTTTTTTTTTTAATCTTACCCTTCTTCAAGATTTTAAAGATATTCTTCTGTTCTTCTAAAAGTTTTGATGTTTCACTTTTCAAACTTAGATCTGTAATTCATCTTGGAATTGATTTTTGTTTATGGTGTTAAGTAGGATTTAAGATTAGTTTGTCTTAATTTAAAAAATATTTGTTAATTCATTTAAAAATTACAGTAATTAGCCCATTACATGTTAACATAAATAATATATTTTATGAAAAATAAGCACATTTTCCAACACAAGAAAATTTAATTATATATTTGTAAATCTAATGTCTGGTTCACGTTAGTTGGATTCTTATGTCTTCTATATCATCTGTTTTGTTATGCTTTTTTGGATATGACCTAACACAGATATGAAGCTGGAAAAGTGAGGAGTATTTTGGTAGCCTTTTCAAATAATTGGATATTCTTCTCTGATACGACACCAAACCTTGACAGATTTCTTAAAGATTTGTTGTAATGTGGAATCTGAATGCTTGTACTCTGTTGCATTAAAACCATGGTGTATCTTGTGCTTTGAATGCATCATTCACTTACCTGTGCATGATTTTATAGCATCAGGCATTGGTCATTCAGAAAGTATTGGTGTAGTGAGTTATGTAGTTCCTCCAAATTTTGACACATCTTATTGTGCATTATCAAAAAAAAAAAAAAACAACACATTTGTTAAGATGACCACCAATTACATCAGAAAAGTTTAGGGAAGTGTTTTGTCTTAGTTATCTAGTGCTGCTATCACAGAAATACCACAAGCAGATGGCTTTAACAAAGAGAAATTTATTCTCTCACAGTCTAGGAGGCTACAAGTCCAAATTCAGGGCGCCAGCTCCAGGGGAAGGCGTTCTCTCTCTGTCAGCTCTGGGCAAAGGTCCTTGTCATCAGTCTTCCCCTGGTTGAGTTTCTCACTCCAGGGACCCTGGGTCCAAAGGATGTGCTATGCTCCTGGTGCTTCTTTCTTGGTGATATGAGGTCCCCATGTCTGTCTGCTCACTTCTCTCTTTTATATCTCAAAAGAGGTTGGCTCGAGACACAATCTGATCTTGTAGACTGAATCCTGCCTCATTAACATAACTGTAACTCATCATGTCTTCATCAGCATCATAGAGATAGGATTTACAACACACAGGAAGATCACTTCAGATGACAGAATGGTGGCAGTCATACAATACTGGGAATCATGGCCTAACCAAATTGATACACATGTTTTTGGGGGACACATTTCAGTGCATGACATGTGAAGCTTACAATAGTGGATACAAGTTTTCTAAAATTCTAGTTTTTGATTGAAAGCTTGAGTTTTATCATTGGTAAGATTTATTATTTACTCCTATGAATATCCACTTGTCCTAGCACTATTAGAAAAACATTTTTTCCCCTGCTGTACTGCAATGTCCCTTTTGTTTTAAAGTGACCGTGTGTATAAATGTGTCTCTTTCTGCTCTCTTTATTTGTTCATTGATCTATTTATCTTATCTTTGTGCCAGTACTGCTCTGTCTTATTACTCTAGCTGTATATTTTCATGTCTTGTAGCATATGTCTTCTAATTAGGTTTGTTCTTTAAGATTGTCATTGCTATTAGTATTGCTTGCTTTTCTATATAAATTCTACAATCAGCTAGTCAATTTCCACACACATGCACACTCAAGAAAACCTGTTGTTTGGCTGTGGGCTTTGGATTAGGATAGCATTAAATCTATAAATCAGTTCCAAGAGAGTTGACATCTTTATAATATTGAATCTTTCAATCTGTGAACGTGTATATTCTTCTATTTATTTAGTCTTCTTTAGTTCTTCACAATAATATTTAGAATGATATTTTTACTGCGTATAGAATTCTAGGCTGACAGTATTTTTCTTTGTCACTTTATATAGATGTCATTTTTTTGTGTTCTGGCTTCTATTATTTATAGTGAAGCGTCAGTAACTGGTGTTATTGTTACTCCTTTGCAGGCAAATTTTTTTTCCTCTGGCTGCTTCTGAGATTTTTCTCTTTCTTTTTGTTTTCAGCAGTTGTGTCTAGTGGTCGTGGGTGTGCTTTTCTTTGGATTTATTCTTTTTGGGGTATGAAGACTGTTACGAATTAAATCGTGTCCCCCAAAAATAGGTGTTGTAAATCCTGACCTCTATGCCTGTGGTTATAATCTCATTTGGGAATGGATTGTTTTTTTATGTTAATGAAACAGAATTAGTATAGGGTATGTCTTAAATCAGTCTTTTTTGAAATATAAAAAAAAGATTAAAAAAGCAGATGAGACAAGCAGAGATGGGGGAAGATAGATGCCAAGCCACGTGAAGATTGCCCAGGAACAGAAGCTTAGCAGAGACAAGGACTTCCCTTAAGAGCTGGCAAAGAGAGAAAGCTTTCCCCTAGAGCTGGCACCCTGACTTTGAACTTGTAGCCACCTAAACTGTGAGAAAATCAATTTCTGTTTTTTAAAGCCACCCACTTGTGGTATTTTCTGTTATAGCAGCACTAGACAATTAAGACATAGACCTTTTTAATTTCTGATCTTTCATCAGTTTTGGAATATTCTCAGCAAGTATTTCATTCATTGCATCTTTCCTATTTTCTCTCCGTTTCTGAGATTCCAATTACACTCAAATTATTTCTTTTCACTTTGTCCCATGTTTCCTTTATGCTGTTTTCCATCCTTTTTTCTATTGTTCAGTCTGTATATTTTCTACTAACGTATTTGTGAAGTCCAGTCTTCTCCTGTTCCTAGTTTTGTATTCATCCCACCTTTTGAATTCTTAATTGGTTATTATACTTTTCAGTCTGAATTTCTATTTTGTTTTCATAGATCCCAGTTCTGAGATGGAGTTCTCCATCTTTTCCTCTTTTTTCCTTGAATCTATTAAGTACAGTCTGTCCTTCTCCTCCTTCCCCAGTGATTTTAGATTTTTTGGTTCCATTCTCAGCAATCTTGGCCATTTTGATTGAATGCCAGACTGTATGAAATGTTTAGAAGCTCTAGATAATATTGTCTTCCTCTAGAGAGCCTTTAGATGTTTTTGTTGTAACAGACAGAGTACAGG